AAGATGTCAACATAGTTAAGGCCGATGAAAAACAGAGTTTCACGTCGAATATTTGCCAGTATATACTACCAGAGTATACACTATCGGAAATGGTTCACAAACAGTTTTCAGGATGTTCCAAACGATACCTGCGACTCGTGTGTGTGTATTGAGCCGAGTTTAAGTCACGCTCAAATATCTGACGCTGACATCCTTCCCGTCTCTCCCGCTGCAAGACCGGGATGATGCTAGATAGAAACAACCGTGTACCACGGTCTATGCGATAAAAGTAACTAGCAGCCTTACATTATGTGTTCATTGTTAATTAATGATGTACACTTGAACGTAAAAGTTTTCATGAACTTGGAGCTCGGCTCAAGATGTATGCACGTGTTAAAACCATTAATGTCAATAGAGCACGTGTTGCTCGTCGATGCTTTTAAGAACATTTATTTAATGTTAATTACTGATTATGTACTCTTGAACGTAAACGTTTTAATGAACTTGGAGTTCGGCTCAAACCAGTATGCAATTTTAAAAATCATTAATGTCAAAAGAGCACGTGTTGCTCGTCGATGCTTTTAAGAACATTTATTTAATGTTAATTACTGATTATGTACACTTGAACGTAAAAGTTTTAATGAACTTGGAGCTCGGCTCAAAATGTATGCACGTGTTAAAATCATTAATGTCAATAGAGCACGTGTTGCTCGTCGATTCTTTTCAGAACATTTTGGGGAAGAATTGTTTTTTCTTTGGGTATTTGCATAATTTGTTTGTCAGTTATGGGGAAGTAGCTCAAACGTGTAGTCTGGGGAAATCAGAAATGGGCTTCACACATTGTACCCTTGTCGGGAATCGAACCCGGGTCTTCGTCGTGAAGAGCGAACGCTTTAACCACTAGGCTACCCGACCGCCCCGAAGTGGTATGTAATTGAGTGCGTGAGTTTAGGTAGGTCAAATCCGATTTTCCTTGACAGAGGAAGAGATCCCATTGGGACACAGCCATCGACCATTACTGCTTCTTCCAGGCCGCAATCCAGTCAAACCTAGGACTTGAACCCATTACCAGCCGATGCTGACTTGACCAAGGGACATAATCCTCCACAGCGAGGCAGAATTAGAAAATGTTATACGTGTTAATGCAAAGTGGACCATCGTTTCACCCTTTAAAGGCAATGTCCATAGGTCGATGACATTTGCTTGACGGGGTGGTGGGGAAGGTCCCGGCTGGAATCCCAACCAGGGTACAATGTGTGATCAAGTTCCTTTGCTAGTCCCCAGAGTCACAGTGTAGGCTTTCCTCACATAATATAACATGTACATGCGGAGCTTAGGTATTTGATATCCAGTATCAGTTCGATATGGGGAGCACGGGTGGCCCAGTCGTCTAAGGCGCAGCGATTCTCTGTACAGTGTTGCGTCCTTTGGGCACGCCAGAAACCTATGATTGTGGGTTCGAATCCCGGTTCGCCCCGATTATGTTTCTAGGTTTGTCAGCACCATACCCGTGCTCGTGGGTTTTTACCGAAGTGGTAAATGTCTTAGACCTGCATCACTTCGGGCTTTCCTCCCACATTAAGCTGACACGCCGTGATATAACTGGAATACTGTTAAAAGCGGCGTTAAACCCAACTCACTCACACACACAGTTCGATAAGATTATAATGGTATCATTAGAGCCAACCTCAGGGGTCGGGTCCTCGAGTGCTTGTTTTCGCATGTTGACCTCTTCAAGAGTAGACATTCGTTTTGTTATACCGAAATTAACTTGAACGTTTATGAAGCCTTAAACCGTCCTCTGTTCCATCACAGTAACTTAGCTGCGAACCAAAATGTTCGTACAGTCGCAATCTTGTTTTCTAACAGACGAGTCAATGTTCATCACGTGACAATGGGCGATCCTTTTCAATTTATCTTCCCTTCACTAACCCGCTAGGTGCGCTGACCCAGACGGTCCAACCTTAAACTGACGGCGCATGTGCTATGCGCGATACGAACACTACATGTTACTATGACGCCTATAGACAGTTAACTAGTATAACCTTCACCTCTGTCGGCAACGGTCATGCTTGTGTGTGGACAGTATATCTTTTCGCCTAAACAATGATTTATCTATTGCCATGTCCGGAAATAAATGTTCCTTGATTTAATGATACATCAGGGATGATCACGGCTGATCATATTGTATAGTTAACCACTAGATTGGCGTTCGAAGCGATGCGGTGAGATCAGCTAATCGTTCATCCCAGGTCGCTTTGTTGACGTTTTGCAATCGGTACTGAAAGTGTTGCCCTTGATACATGAATATCACACTTTTAAACATTAAGTAGATTTTGTATACGTTCCTATATTTATGTTGTAGGATCGCCGAGCAGGCTACATCATATGCATGCATTTCAGTATGTACAGCGGTGAGGCGATACGGTACGTACGCGAAATGTGAAGGTTGCATGCAACGTTGCCCGTAGCCTCAATGTTGTGAATATTGACAGCAACACATGTAAGTATTTGTCAGATATATAACAGAGAGCAATGAGAAGTGTTCTCAAGAAAATTGTAAGAGTAACAGGCACTGTAAAATTACGTCATCAACTAGATATCATGATAGAATGTTCAAAATAAAAGAAATGGAAATTACTGAAATCTGTTTTGATATTTAAGGGTTAATTGGTGCATGTTGTATAAAAGGATGCTATGTATATGATTGTTAGCTGTTTGTTGCCAAATTCTGCCGGGATTATATTTCAATATGATCAATGAAAGATTTATATTATTTTGGCCTTTTTTGAATTTTACAAAGTAGAAAAAAAAAATTCAGACACAGAGGACCCTATATTTTAGTTACAATACATATTCAAGAGTATTTGTACCAACTACAATTTTTATAAAATAAAACAATATAATTATACTAATTGTCAATCTCTATAATAATGCAGTGTCTACATCCAGTATGCATTGACAATAATCATATGATTGTGACACAAATAAAGCTGATTCTTAACTTCATTAGGCACGGGTGGCCCAGTCGTCTAAGGCGCCGCGATTCGCTGTGCAGAGTTGCGTCCCTTGGGCACGCCAGAAACCTATGATTGTAGGTTCGAATCCCGGTTCGCCCCGATTATGTTTCTAGGTTTGTCAGCACCATACCCGTGCTCGTGGGTTTCACCGAAATGGTAAACGTCTGAGACCTGCATCACTTGGGGCTTTCCTCCCATATTAAGCTGACACGCCGTGATATAACTGGAATACTGTTAAAAGCGGCATTAAACCCATCTCACTCACTCACTCATTAGGCCTTGCTTGTTATGTTTCTTTGTTCTAAACTTATGTTTCAAATTCCAACATAAACAAATTATTAATGTTATTCTTTTTTCTCTTCACACCAAAAGATATCTGCATTGCACAATGACTCTTATTATTTATTTAATATCTTGACACACTTGTGCATGTGTACTAGTATTTGATTACACAGGCATGCCTTTTTAGCAGTCATCTGTTTCTGAACTGAATATTATGCCAATAAAGATAAGTAACATAAAAAAAGGGACTCTGGTATTCTTTCAGGTTTGGAAAATCAATCAATTCATTTTGAAAACATTGTTAATTTCTTACATAAGTTACTTTGATCTTGATAAGATCAAAAAAGATCCAAATTAAATTGAGGAGATTAAATTTTGGAGTCTAATTCATTTCAGCCAGTCTGTCTAAAATCCGGTCATATTTTTCAGGAAATAATAAATGAATGAAAATTTAAGAAAAAATATACCTTGCCTGAGTGAATCAGTCAATGGGCATATTGACTGAAATTTTCAGTCAAAATACATATTGGGCCTTATTATAGACACTGACTGTAACATATGTAAGTATAATCTGTGATATGCAAAAACAAATAACATAAATTAATCAATTTATCTTCATGGAAGGACTGTGGGGTTCAATTTGCACTATTTAATCATCAGAAAATTTTAAGATAAACTTTCTAAATTCATATTTGCTATATGATAATAATATCTGCAAAATATACTTTATACCACAGGTGTCTTGAAGTACTGTTGAATGAAAATCAGGATACTTAGATACGGCAGGGTAGTGTGTGGGTTTGTATGGGAAATAATTTGTCGACATTAAAATAAATATAATGTTACTAAAACAAGAAGATAAAAATATGATTTAGATCTATTTATGCATCATACACATTTTGTGGGGTAGTCAGTATGATTTGTTGTTTGTTGGGACAAATCTCTGTAATATACTACTATTTTAAGAGCATGAGTATCAGAATTCTGTAAGAAATGATGGATCAACACCTGTGATGACTCGGAGCACCCAATGGTGGGACAAATGTTATAAGGGGCAGAATAATATGGGTAAATCTCTTATTTTCAAAGTATGATGAGTGGTATGTATATTGCAACAGAGTAACTGAGTGCTTAATAGATGCATGGTAGATGTTCATGTGGCCTATTTCTAAAAAAAAATAATATAAATTTAAATATGCAGATACAACTTTAATTTTGATAAAAAAAGTAACATTTAAAATCAGTTGTTTTATCATCATTGAACGTTATTTCTTCTTAAAATATTTGAAAAGGCACGGATGTATACTTACTATAGATCTATAGATCATTGGTAAAGGCCTGTCAAAGATGTCTGTGTGCTGCAAATGTTGGCGTATCACTAATTTTATTACATTGAAGTCCATGGTAGTATTTGTTGAGATTCGAATGCTTGAATTGTTGTGGGAAATAACACAAAGGTTGATAAATAAAATGAGTTTGCATTATTTCATCGATGCAATATGTTAGCCCAAACTGACTGTTTTCTGACGTATTAAAATACCGTGGCAATAGACCATTTTTCATGACGTTTTTCCCTCTATATTCTCTAGTGACAATTCGTCTTGTAGTTGAAGTTCATTGATCCAACTTAAGGAACCAAACACACCATGATTGCTTTCCAACTTTATTAACTAGCCATCTCCACACAGAATACCTAAACAAAACACAATACAGGGTACATATGCATGTGTCCTACGACACAATATAACACTATTAACGCCTCATGAAAACCCAGATAACACGCCCATGGACTCGGCAGAGATTCTGAGTCAAGTCGTGATAGTCCACTGTGAAATAGCCTTTCTCTGATATCGGGACGTTGGTTTCTTGTTCGGGGTTACTGATTCACCAAGAGCTCCATTCTCTCCGCGTATGCCTTCACCCGGATCAAGTTGTCTGTCACTAAAAAAATATATAAAACGATCATTTTAGAAACTATACAGATATAAGAAATGCCTGTGCGCGTGTGAATTGTTGCCGTTGTTGATTGTAACTGAAAGTGTGGTGACACAAAGGCGGACTTCCCGTTCGGCGCTAAATGATAGTCACATGTCGTCATTATTTTCCTAGAGAAGTCACATGAGGACATTAGTTAATGTTCCTGGAAAAGTCACAATGTAACATTAATTTATGTTCGTCGAGAGGTCACATGGCGACATTAGGTTATTTTCCTGGAAAAGACGCATAGCAAGATTAGCTAATGTTCCCATAGAAGTCACAATATGACATTAGTTAATGTTCCTAGAGAAGTCACATCGCGACAGGTTATTTTCCTAGAGAAGTCACAATGTAACATTAATCTATGTTCGTCGAGAGGTCACATGGCGACATTAGGTTATTTTCCTGGAAAAGACGCATAGCAAGATTAGCTAATGTTCCCATAGAAGTCACAATATGACATTAGTTAATGTTCCTAGACGAGTCACATTGCGACACAATACAACTATAGACCTATATGGAGTGCCTGTTTTAGCGACCCCCCCAAAAAAACAAAAAAACAAAACAACAAAAAAAACAACAAAAAAAACCAAAAAACAAACAAACAACAATACTAATCTTAATATTCATATTTAGATTTTGCGTTATTCAAAGGAATAAGAACGGCGTAAGTGATTCTTGCTATCATTAATTGAACCCGCCCTTTTTAATCTTATTTGACAACAATATATGTTACATATAATTACCTGGCAGGGGACAACAGAAGGCAACATGACCCGCCTTCCTACACGTCATCATGGGCGGGCACCTGTCATCACAGCTCATAGGGAAGAGGGCTAGATGATCCAGCCCCATCAGCTCAGGCACCGTCTTGCAGTCAAGGGATCGGGCTGCCTTAATCCTGCTCACAACCTCGATAAGCCGCATCATGAAGTCCAGTGGAGATGGAGATCTGGTTGCAGATGCTGCTTGTTGTGGATGACTTGTATTGGAAGCATACTGTAGCAGAGAACCAAGGGGAGAGGGAGGAAGTACCATGTTTCCTGAAACCCCGAACCCCCCCGATTTGTGAGAAGGATTCATCATGTTCTTAAGGGGCGATGCTTGTTGCCTTACTGATGGGGCTCTTTGTGCTGCTTGCCATGTCCATCTGTTGGTCGATGGGAGGACTTGTTTATGTACGTAGTTTGGTTGTTGTGCTCTGTAGATAGATGTCCGTGACTGCTCGGATATCTTTCGCTGAGGAGCGACATGTCCACTTGCTTTTGGACCTTGAATGTAATTAGATGCATGTGTTTTTATAGCTGATAATTTCGGAGATGTATTCGATTTGTTAGGGCGTTTGGTATAACTTGACGTTAAAGTAGTTCTGCCATAAGATGCTTGTCCGACGTGGACTGGAGCTTTTTGGATAGGGAATGTTTGTGTATTTGCTCGTTGAGAAGGAGTTCTTGGCATAGGGGCAGACCGTACAGGTGGTTGTTGAGAAGGAGCTCTATAGACAGGAACACTTTGTGAAGGTGCTTTTTGAGGAGCTCTATAGGCAGGAACACTTTGTGTAGGTGCTTTTTGAGGATGAGTTCTATAAACGGGAACTCTTTGTGAAGGTGCTTGTTGAGAAGGAGTTCTGTAGGCAGGAACACTTTGTGTTGGTGCTTTTTGAGGAGGAGGTCTGTAGGCAGGGGCTCTTTGTGCAGGTGCATTTTGAGGAGAAGTTCTATAGGCAGGAACTCTTTGTGCAGGTGCTTTTTGAGGAGAAGTTCTATAGACAGGAACGCTTTGTGTAGGTGCTCTTTGAGGAAGAGTTCTATAAACAGGAACTCTTTGTGAAGGTGCTTGTTGAGAAGGAGTTCTATTGGCAGGAAATCTTTGTGCAGGTGCTTGTTGAGAAGGTATTCTATGGGCAGGAAATCGTTGTGCAGGTGCTTTTTGAGGATGAGTTCTATAGGCAGGAACACTTTGTGTAGGTGCTTGTTGTGAAGGAGTTCTGTAGGCAGGAACACTTTGTGTAGGTGCTTTTTGAAGAGGAGGTCTGTAGGCAGGGGCTCTTTGTGCAGGTGCTTGTTGAGAAGGACTTCTGTAGACAGGAACCCTTTGTGCAGGTGCTTGTTGAGAAGGACTTCTGTAGGCAGGAACTCTTTTGACAGGTGCTTGTTGAGAAGGACTTCTGTAGACAGGAACCCTTTGTGAAGGTGCTTGCTGAGAAGGACTTCTATAGGCAGGAACTCTTTGTGCAGGTGCATGTGGACTGTGAGAATCCGTTGCACCATATGGAAGAGGATGAGTCACCGCCAGCTTCAGGACTGAAATGGACGATGGTAGAAGGGCCTGTATGAGTGCTGCTACCCTTGTTGAATTGTATCGTGGTGGTGTATTTCTCCCGACAGCCACAGATGTATCACCATTCCGTGTTCGGTGAACTCCAACAGGGTCAGTTTCAGTAGGATCATCAATGGTTCCAAGTTTAGTAACTGTCCCAGTATCTTTGGCCTCGGAAGTTCCATTTTGCAATGACCTGGAAGGGTAATTTCCAGGAATTGGTATCTTGTTGGGTGAATATGATCCTGACTTAGCGAGGAAAGTTGGTGTATTTGTCGTCCCTGGTGACCCTATACTCCTGGTTGCCAACGTAGGTCCAACGACATTGGCATATGTCTCCGTATTAATTGGCCCATCCGCACTCTGCCCGCTAGTATATGTGCTTGTGTACTTCCCATCGTCCAGTTTCCTTGTGTCATAATGTCCTTTATCTGGGTACTGGCTTACCGGCTTGCTGGGAATAGAGTTACTATACATCACTGAATTGTCTGTGAATTGTGGTTGACTGTTACTATACATCCCTGATTTGTCGGTGATTGGTGGTTGACTTTTACTAAACGTCGCTGAATGGTCGGTGATTGGTGGTTGGCTGTTACTATATATCCCTGATTTGTCTGTGATTGGTGGTTGACTGTTACTATACGCCGCGGAATTGTCGGTAATTGGTGGTTGACTGTTACTATACGTCACTGAGTTGTCGGTGATTGGTGGTTGACTGTTACTATACGTCACTGAGTTGTCGGTGATTGGTGGTTGGCTGTTACTATACATCCCTGATTGGTCGGTGATTGGTGGTTGGCTGTTACTAAACATCGCTGAATTGTCGGTGATTGGTGGTTGACTGTTACTATACGTCACTGAGTTGTCGGTGATTGGTGGTTGGCTGTTACTATACATCACTGATTGGTCGGTGATTGGTGGTTGGCTGTTACTAAACATCGCTGATTGGTCGGTGATTGGTGGTTGACTGTTACTATACATCGCTGAATTGTCGGTGATTGGTAGTTGACTGTTACTATACATCCCTGATTGGTCGGTGATTGGTGGTTGACTGTTACTATACATCGCTGAATTGTCGGTGATTGGTGGTTGACTGTTACTATACATCACTGATTGGTCGGTGATTGGTGGTTGACTGTTACTAAACATCCCTGATTGGTCGGTGATTGGTGGTTGACTGTTACTATACATCGCTGAATTGTCGGTGATTGGTGGTTGGCTGTTACTATACATCCCTGATTGGTCGGTGATTGGTGGTTGTCTGTTACTATACATCACTGAATTGTCGGTGATTGGTGGTTGACTGTTACTATACATCACTGAATTGTCGGTGATTGGCGGTTGACTGTTAATATACATTGCTGAATTGTCGGTGATTGGTGGTTGACTGTTACTATACGTCCCTGAGTTGTCGGTGATTGGTGGTTGGCTGTTACTATACATCACTGATTGGTCGGTGATTGGTGGTTGGCTGTTACTAAACATCGCTGATTGGTCGGTGATTGGAGGTTGACTGTAACTATACATCGCTGAATTGTCGGTGATTGGTGGTTGGCTGTTACTATACATCCCTGATTGGTCGGTGATTGGTGGTTGGCTGTTACTATACATCACTGAATTGTCGGTGATTGGTGGTTGACTGTTACTATACATCACTGAATTGTCGGTGATTGGCGGTTGACTGTTACTATACATCGCTGAATTGTCGGTGATTGGTGGTTGACTGTTACTATACGTCACTGAGTTGTCGGTGATTGGTGGTTGGCTGTTACTATACATCACTGATTGGTCGGTGATTGGTGGTTGGCTGTTACTAAACATCGCTGATTGGTCGGTGATTGGTGGTTGACTGTTACTATACATCGCTGAATTGTCGGTGATTGGTAGTTGACTGTTACTATACATCCCTGATTGGTCGGTGATTGGTGGTTGACTGTTACTATACATCGCTGAATTGTCGGTGATTGGTGGTTGACTGTTACTATACATCACTGATTGGTCGGTGATTGGTGGTTGACTGTTACTAAACATCCCTGATTGGTCGGTGATTGGAGGTTGACTGTTACTATACATCGCTGAATTGTCGGTGATTGGTGGTTGGCTGTTACTATACATCCCTGATTGGTCGGTGATTGGTGGTTGGCTGTTACTATACATCGCTGAATTGTCTGTTAATTGCGTTTGACTGTTACTATACATCCCTGATTGGTAGGTGATTGGTGGTTGGCTGTTAATATACATCACTGAATTGTCGGTGATTGGTGATTGACTGTTACTATACGTCACTGATTGGTCGGTGATTGGTGGTTGACTGTTACTATACATCGCTGAATTGTCGGTGATTGTTGGTTGACTGTTACTATACATCCCTGATTGGTCGGTAATTGGTGGTTGACTGTTACTATACATCGCTGATTGGTCGGTGATTGTTGGTTGACTGTTACTATACATCACTGATTGGTCGGTGATTGGTGGTTGACTGTTACTATACATCACTGATTGGTCTGTAATTGGTGGTTGACTGTTACTATACATCGCTGAATTGTCGGTAATTGGTGGTTGACTGTTACTATACATCCCTGATTGGTCGGTGATTGGAGGTTGACTGTTACTATACATCGCTGAATTGTCGGTGATTGGTGGTTGACTGTTGCTATACGTCCCTGATTGGTCGGTGATTGGTGGTTGACTGTTACCATACATCCCTGATTGGTCGGTGATTGGAGGTTGACTGTTACTATACACCCCTGATTGGTCGGTGATTGGTGGTTGGCTGTTACTATACATCCCTGATTGGTCGGTGATTGATGGTTGACTGTTACTATACATCACTGATTGGTCGGTGATTGGTGGCTGACTATTACTATACATCCCTGATTGGTCGGTGATTGGTGGTTGAATGTCATCATACCCGTAGTAACTTCTAGCTAGTTCACCTGTTCGGGTTTGCACATCCGTACCAGAGGGACTGACTTGGAGCGATCCAATGCTAATATATGGAAGATGCACCTCAGGTGGAGTTGACGATGTCGTGTCAGGTGGAGTTGACGATGTCGTGTCAGGTGGAGGTGACGATGTCGTGTCAGGTGGAGTTGACGATGTCATGTCAGGTGGAGGCGACGATGTCGTGTCAGGTGGAGGCGACGATGTCGTTGTTGTACCCCATGTTGGAACCGTGCTTTGTGTCGTCACGCTGTATCTTGTACTGGTTGCCTGCGTGACGTCGGCCACGGTCGATGACGTTGCTGTGGATGTAGTTGACGAGCTCTGACACCCTGTGCCTAAATAAAGAACGTGGTTCCGTTTTAATCTTGCAGTGATGTATCATAGTAAGGATCAGCTATGAGGATGAACAACTTCTTTATTACAATTAGAAGTGACGTTTCCGTGTAGGTTCTAACACCGTTATCAAGTATGTTATCACTTGCTTGATAACGATGTTAGAACCTACACCGAAACTTGCTTGATAACGATGTTAGAATTTACACCGAAACTTGCTTGATAACGATGTTAGAACGTACTCTGAAACTTGCTTGATAACGATGTTAGAACTTACACCGAAACTTGCTTGATAACGATGTTAGAACCTACACCGAAACTTGCTTGATAACGATGTTAGAACCTACACCGAAACTTGCTTGATAACGATGTTAGAACGTACACTGAAACTTGCTTGATAACGATGTTAGAACCTACACTGAAACTTGCTTGATAACGATGTTAGAACGTACACTGAAACTTGCTTGATAACGATGTTAGAACCTACACAGAAACTTGCTTGATAACGATGTTAGAACGTACACTGAAACTTGCTTGATAACGATGTTAGAACGTACACTGAAACATGCTTGATAACGATGTTAAAACCTACACAGAAACTTGCTTGATAACGATGTTAGAACCTACACTGAAACTTGCTTGATAACGATGTTAGAACCTACACTGAAACTTGCTTGATAACGATGTTAGAACGTACACTGAAACTTGCTTGATAACGATGTTAGAACCTACACAGAAACTTGTTTGATAACGATGTTAGAACGTACACTGAAACTTGTTTGATAACGATGTTAGAACGTACACTGAAACATGCTTGATAACGATGTTAGAACCTACACAGAAACTTGCTTGATAACGATGTTAGAACCTACACTGAAACTTGCTTGATAACGATGTTAGAACCTACACTGAAACTTGCTTGATAACGATGTTAGAACGTAGACCGAAACTTGCTTGATAACGATGTTAGAACGTACACTGAAACTTGCTTGATAACGATGTTAGAACGTACACTGAAACTTGCTTGATAACGATGTTAGAACCTACACCGAAACTTGCTTGATAACGATGTTAGAACGTACACTGAAACTTGCTTGATAACGATGTTAGAACCTACACTGAAACTTGCTTGATAACGATGTTAGAACCTACACAGAAACTTGCTTGATAACGATGTTAGAACCTACACAGAAACTTGCTTGATAACGATGTTAGAACGTACACAGAAACTTGCTTGATAACGATGTTAGAACGTACACTGAAACTTGCTTGATAACGATGTTAGAACGTACACTGAAACTTGCTTGATAACGATGTTAGAACGTACACTGAAACTTGCTTGATAACAGCAGGGTTCCCAACAAGGACAGAGACTCCCCGCAGGGTTCCCGACAAGGACAGAGACTCCCCGCAGGGTTCCCAACAAGGACAGAGACTCCCCGCAGGGTTCCCGACAAGGACAGAGACTCCCCGCAGGGTTCCCAACAAGGACATAGACTCCCTGTAGGGTTCCCAACAAGGACATAGACTCCCTGTAGGGTTCCCAACAAGGACAGAGACTCCCCGCAGGGTTCCTAACAAGGACAAGGCCGGACTTGACTCCCTTCAGTGTCCCCAACGGAAACATGTGTTTGAGATTATAAGCATCGATCTACCCCTTGGGTACGGCGACCAAATCGCAATTTCTAACCATCCATCTCCAGCTATTGTAATCAAAGAGCCAGTTATATATAGCCCAATGATTACAAATGATAATATGCTTACGATTTGGACAGAATGTCTCATCCAAACTGACAGGCAAAAGAAAGTATACTTGATTTAGCCAAAAAATTACAAATGTTAAGTGACTGAAAAAGACTCGCCGAAACATTGAAAATTTAAGGTTCGAAACATAATTATGATACCCATATCGAATAGCTATTTCTTGTTTGCGTCAGTTTTTGCGTCAGGGGTTACTTTTATGAGCAATGTCTAACACTGCAAACAAACAAGTCACCGAACCGCACTCAGCAACATTCCAGCTGTATGATGGTATCCATAACTAATGAAGTCTGGACCAGACAATCCAGTGATTGACATTATGAGCATCGATATACGCAATTGGGATACAATGCATCAACAGAGTCAGCGAGCCTGACCATCCGATCGCGTTACGATCGCCTCTTACGACAAGGAAAGTCGCCTCTTACGACAAGGAAAGTCGCCTCTTTCGACGAAAATGGGTTGCTGAAAACCAATTATAATCTATAAGAGATGGATCCAGGTTTTTGTTAAGGAATTTTACAGTTAGTTACTCTTCAGTGGAGGGTAGGGGTGTCACCTTTTGAATTTTAATCTTCATTATACTTGGCCTTTTTAAATTCAGTCATTGGAGTTTATATGCATTTTTAAAGAGGGATAGGTCGGACCAACTGACTCTCCACCTGGATCCGCCACTGTCAAGGAGTGAGTGAGAATTGTTTTACGCCGCTTTTAGCAACATTCCAGCAATATCGCAGCAGGGGACACAGGAAATGGGCTTCACACATTGTACCCATATGGGAATCGAACCCGGATCTTCTGCGTGACGAGCGACAACTTCAACAACAAGGCTACCCCAACGCCCTCACTCTCTAGGAATACGGTAGGACTTACCTGCCACCCACAGACAAACCACGCAGGAAAAGACGAGATGGCGTATCATTTCTACGCTGCTGATTGTGTTCCTGGAGAGGTACCAAACACATTGTGCGCTGCCTCTTTATATACCCACCACTAGGCGATTTCCACCAAAATGAACTGTGCCCGACCTCAGAGCTTGAGTTCTTCAGAAGTCCCTTCATAAACGTATCTCGCTCGTGGCAGGTGATTGGGATATCGCCGCACTAAAAATCACGACGTCTTTGATGACATGATCTTTGCTTGACCTGGATCATTAAGTGTCTTGTTTGACACGGTGATTGTATGCAGTAAATGTGCTGTGACAGTCCATATTACGTTGTTTCAACACTTTATCGTTTTTAAGATAATTTTGACGAGTAATTAATCAACTGAGACTTTTTCCCACACACATAAACATTATTGATATCTGCGTGCTCAATACTACTTCGCCACGAGAACACCAGAAAAACATCGTCGGATTTGGTGTTAAAGGAGGTGAGGTGAAATGGGGTTTAACGTCGCGTCTAATATTATTGCACTTATATAGCGACGTGCATGTACATGTATGCGTGGCTGCTTGTACTAGTCTGGACTGATGCCGATTTATAGTGCTAGCTCACTGAGATACCATGCCGCAGTTTAACATGAATACCCCACTCGGACACAGTATACTGACTCAGAGCCGACCAGTCCTTGTTTTAGCCCCTTAATGCCGAGCGCCAGACAGGGTAACAACAAGTACCACCTTTTAACGTCTTTTGGTATGACGCGGTCGGAGATCGAACCACGGACCTTCCGCTCTCCAGGCGGACGCTCTACCATTAGACCACGGAGGCGGTCGGTGTTAAAGGAGAAGAAAAGTGATGCGGTAATCTTTAAAACTGTGTTTTACCTTGGACAAAGATCAGTGTGATTGACATTAAATGTTCACTTAAGAGAACACGTGTTGGTCTTTGCCTTATTTTTGGCTGTTACTGTGTTTCTTGTAAATTGTTTTAAATGAACAAATATTTATTTTCTGTGATGTACTATACTTGGTGGCACGTGGTTCTGTGCGAGGCGCACAGGTCACAAATCAGGCGAAGTTATGCAGCGTCGGTCTCGGAGAGGAGGTGGATGGGTGACCACGTTCAGCAGCTTGACTCCTGAGAGTTTCTAGGGCTTCGGTCCTGCCCCACACTGAAACACATGTAACACATGTGGTGTCTCCTGAGGCAAGTGACTTTGTTAGAAATGTGCCTCTGTGGCTGTTAACCTTCTAGCGCAACACGGGCATTTTGGGTTACATACTCCCCAGGGAGCTGAGAATGAAACTCAAGTGCACACTGATCTATTGGCCGGGGTAATAATAAATAATAATAATAATAACAACAACAACAACAACAACAACAACACTACTACTACTAATAATAATAATGTAATCTGGCGCATTAAAAATGCACATACCATTATTATTAATAGTAGTAGACGTACTCACTCACTCACTCACTCACTCACTCACTCACTCACTCACTCACTCACATATGCAGATAACCTCCTTGTGTTGGACATTGTAATTGTAGATTTAAACGATGAGAGTTAATTCAATTAGATTAGCTATTGTTTCGTAAATACTTGAACTATTTTTATCCAACAAAGTTATTTTGTTGTTCACACGGCCGGAAGAAGTTAACAGTTCATATTCGTGAATACAGGTTATTTGTGGTGCATGTTGTAGGGCTTGGTCACGTTTATCAAGTGGGACATATGTTGCAGAAGGCAAGAACATCAATTACATACCAGCATGATGAATTGTGATGTATTTTGAGAGATGTCAAAAATCATAAAAAGCTAAAACTCTATTGCAACTCTACATGCAAACTCTCTTTTTAATTCAAAGCGTCGGGCGTGAGTGACAACATATGCCATGCTATATACATGAACATCTGCAAGGGGAACACGCAGAACTACATCACACAGACAATTATGCAACAGAAGCTATAGATCCACGATGTTAGACAGCTCAGTTGACACATGGTGCATCATTCCGATGACGTTTATATCTACACATATGTGAGGTCAGGTGAAATTGGGTTTAACGTCGCGTCCAAGATTATTGCACTGATATAGCGACGTGCATGCACGTGTGTGTGTGTGTGTGTGTGTGTGTGTGTGTGTGTGTGTGTGTGTGTGTGTGTGTGTGTGGGTGTGGGTGTGTGTTTGTGTGTGTTTGTGTGTGTGGCTGCTTGTACTAGTCCGGACTGATGCAGATTTATAGTGCTAGCTCACTGAGATACCATGCCGCAGTTTAACATGAATACCCCACTCAGACACCGTATACTGACTCCGAGCCGACCAGTCCTTGTTTTAGCCCCTTAATACCGGCGCAAGACAGGATAACAACAAGTACCATCTTTTAACGTCTTTTGGTATGACACGGCTGGGGATCGAACCCCGGACCTTCCGCTCTGCGGGCAGACGCTCTACCACTGGACCACGGATATGAAATCCTGCAATGAAACAAGTTTCACATTTATCTCCACTGTCAGCGTCTGCTACACAAGCCAGACCAGAGGTACTCGAGAGAATGATCATCAAGGAAATAGGAAACGCCAACGCCAGTCTCGAGTATCTTTAGATTCCATGAGGCGTAATGGGCAAACTGCTGGTGAAATTATATAAATAAGATCACTGAAAATCCGTCATGACAACGGTGTTCGCGAAAGGAAGGTGTGTTGTGTACCGTGAAATGTTCAGAACATGTTGGTTTGTTGGTTTATTGTTTAACGCCGCAATCAGCAATATTCCAGATATATGCGGCGGTCTGTAAATAATCGAGTCTGAACCAGACAATCCAGTGATTAATATCAAGAGCGTCGATCCACGCAATTGGGATCGATGACATGAATCAACCAAGTCAGCGAGCCTGACCACCCGATCCCGTTAGTCGCCTTTTACGACAAGCAAAGTCGCCTTTTACGGCAAGCATGGGTTGCTGAAGACCTATTCTACCCCGGATCTCAGAACATGTGGAGAGTATGGCATAATGGTTTTGTTTTCTTGTAGAACAGAGGCAGTACCGTTCTTGGACATACAAACGCTGTCTTGGTAGGTCAGTATCTCTGGTCCATGACTACGGCGTTGTCATGGTTCTCAGCTGTGCCTCACGTAGATAATGTTGCTTCGCTTATTATAATGGGTATTTTAATGTAATGTAGGTACTTGTCTCCGATAAATACTAACTCGTTCCTGATGGAAGTTGAAAGAAGAAAACAATTTCCATGTGCACTTCATACCTTGATTTTTATATTCATATACTTAACCAACGTGTGGGTGAGTTGGGTTTAACGCCGCTTTTAACAGTATTCCAGTTATATTACGGTGTGTCAGCTTAATGTGGGAGGAAAGCACGAAGTGATGCAGGTCTCAGACGTTTACCACTTCGGTGAAACCCACGAGCACGGGTATGGTGATGACAAACCTAGAAACATAATCGGGGCGAACCGGGATTCGAACCCACAATCATAGGTTCCTGGCGTGCCCAAGGGACGCAACTCTGAACAGCGATTAGCGGCGCCTTAGACGACTGGGCCACCCGTGCCCCTACTTAACTAACGATTACTGATCGCAGTAAAAATACAACCAATCTACCCATGTACATGTTTAATGCCCTAAAGTTGACGATAGCGATTTAGTGCTGACATTAGGTCAATGTCAAATGTACAAGGTGCATGGAAAGCCTCTACCACATCTAACAAGTTATTGTGCAGTGATTCTCCCAGGTATCATGACTGATTGGTCGTACACATGTTGAAATACATGGCTGACAGGTGTATTATTCGCCCTGTCGAAGGGCCATTGGCGGCTATGTTTTTGTCACACACGAACTGACATACATGACGATTAAGTAAGGATAAGAATTTATGGGTGAACAACTTCTTTATTACAATTAAGAGCGACGTTTTGATGTAGGTTCTACCACCGTTATCAAGCAAATGATGGCACCTATTATTTGTGGGTTCGAATCCCGGTTCGCCCGATTATGTTTCTAGGTTTGTCAGCACCACACCCGTGCTGTGGGTTTCACCGAAGTGGTAAACGTCTGAGACCTGCATCACTTCGGACTTTCCTCCCACATTAAGATGACACGCCGTGATACAACTGGAATACCGTTAAAAGCGGTGTTAAACCAACTCAATAAAGAAGTTGTTTATTCATAAATTCTTATCCTTACTTAATACTCCAACTTCTAAATGCCTATGAAATACGTTACATGAACATTCTCTGCTTTCAAATGTGAGTACAGCTCTTGTAGTGATCTGTACGTTACCATCACACCATGGTATTCACTCCACCTTCAAAGTACCTTGTCTTAAAGAAGGAAATCAAAATGTCTTCTAAGAGAAAAGGCTGATTTGTGTCGGCAAACGGTGCTCTTGCGGTCCAATCGCTGACCTGTTCGCCTTGTGCGTATGACACATCCACTTCACGAATGACAGGAGATCTCCCTGCCAATAGAAAGGGTTCCCCATGAAGAAGATTATTCTGGTCCGTCTCTTCTGATGGAATAGTCGACGGTTTGGAACTTGGAAATACTGGTTCTCTGCTAGGATATGATTTACTTTTTGTTGTCGGAACGTGTGTTTCGCCTTTGATTAATTCAATACCCGACTGTAATATTTGTTCTGTATGCGGTATACCCTGAAACGATTCCATGAGGAAATGCGCTCCTGTAGGGATGATTGTATCCGATACAGAAGATGCTTCGATATGAGCTTCATTGCTTATAAGATGGTGATTCACTGATGATGAAAGATGACGTTTGGCTTGATCTCGTTTTGACTCCTGTCCAGTTGCTACGCCTTCAGAAGTTGGAACTAGGTTGTCCATCACATTGCTGGGTATAGCCATTTCGTGTCCTGTGCTCTCCATGCGTTCCGCATAGGGTTCTCTGTTTGTCTGCCTGAAGTGGTACACCCACTCCCTGTGTGGTTCGACGAAGTCTGGGGTGTCCAGCGGTGTGTCGGTTGGTGCGGGCGGTGTATATGAATTCTGGGTGCTGCCTGGTGATTCCGGGGGTAGCGGAGGTGGGACGTATCTGTTGACAAATCTGCCCCACCCTGACAGGCCAGGGAAAGGAGAAAACGCTCTCTGAGTACCTCGTCCATATAGAGGGTAAGTAGTTCCGCCATTCGGAGGGGATGTGGGTGCCCTTGGAGGAAGGTTCGCATTTGGTATATTTGGTGGAGGATTCGCATCGGGTGTACTTGGAGGAGGGTTCGCATCGGGTGTATTTGGAGGAGGTTTCGCATCGGGTGTATTTGGAGGAGGGTTCGCATCTGGTGTATTTGGAGGAGGATTCGCATCTGGATTAGATGAAGGAGGGTTGGCATCTGGTATATTTGGAGGAGGATTCGCATTTGGTGTATTTGGAGGAGGATTCGCATCTGGTGTATTAGGAGGAGGGTTCGCATCTGGTGTATTTGGAGGAGGATTCGCATCTGGTGTATTTGGAGGAGGGTTCGCATCGGGTGTATTTGGAGGAGGATTCGCATCGGGTGTACTTGGAGGAGGATTCGCATCTGGTATATTTGGAGGAGAATTCGCATCGGGTGTAGTTGGAGGAGGGTTCGCATCGGGTATATTAGGAGGAGGATACGCATCTGGTATATTTGGAGGAGAATTCGCATCGGGTGTACTTGGAGGAGGGTTCGCATCGGGTGTATTTGGAGCAGGATTCGCATCGGGTATATTTGGAGCAGGATTCGTATCGGGTGTACTTGGAGGAGGGTTCGCATCGGGTGTACTTGGAGGAGGATTCGCATCGGGTGTATTTGGAGGAGAATTCGCATCGGGTGTATTTGGAGGAGGCTTCGCATCGGGTGTATTTGGAGGAGGCTTCGCATCGGGTGTATTTGGAGGAGGGTTCGCACCTGGTGTATTTGGAGGAGGGTTCGCATCGGGTGTAGTTGGAGGAGGATTCGCATCGGGTATATTAGGAGGAGGATTCGCATCTGGTATATTTGGAGGAGAATTCGCATCGGGTGTACTTGGAGGAGGGTTCGCATCGGGTGTATTTGGAGGAGGATTCGCATCGGGTATATTTTTAGCAGGATTCGTATCGGGTGTACTTGGAGGAGGGTTCGCATCGGGTGTACTTGGAGGAGGATTCGCATCGGGTGTATTTGGAGGAGGATTCGCATCAGGTGTATTTGGAGGAGGATTCGCATCGGGTGTATTTGGAGGAGGATTCGCATCGGGTGTATTTGGAGGAGGGTTCGCATCGGGTGTATTTGGAGGAGGGTTCGCAGGTGGTGGATCTGCACGTGGTGTATGGGGGTTGTCCCGGGGAAGAGGGTTTCTTGGGACCGGAGGGCGTGGCACAAATCCAAACAGTGACGGGTAGGGATAGAGTCCTCGTTGGGCGAACATCTCACACCCTGCAACAATGAAAATACGGATGTATAACATGTAACCAGTTAGTGTATGGCATGTAACCAGTTAGTGTATAGCATGTAACCAGTCAGTGTATGGCTTGTAACCAGTAAGTGTATGGCATGTAATCAGTTAGTGTATGGCATGTAACCAGTAAGTGTATGGCATGTAACCAGTTAGTGTATAGCTTGTAACCAGTCAGTGTATGGCTTGTAACCAGTAAGTGTATGGCATGTAATCAGTTAGTGTATGGCATGTAACCAGTAAGTGTATGGCATGTAACCAGTTAGTGTATGGCATGTAACCAGTTAGTGTATGGCATGTAACCAGTTAGTGTATAGTATGTAACCAGTTTGTGTATGGCATGTAACTAGTCAGTGTATGACATGTAACCAGTCAGTGTATGGCTTGTAAACAGCCAGTGTATGGCATGTAACCAGTCAGTGTATGACATGTAACCAGTCAGTGTATGGCTTGTAACCAGTCAGTGTATGGCATGTAACCAGTCAGTGTATGGCTTGTAACCAGTAAGTGTATGGCATGTAACCAGTTAGTGTATGACATGTAACCAGTCAGTGTATCGCATTTAACCAGTAAGTGTACGCCATGTAACCAGTTAGTGTATGTCATGGAACCAGTCATTGTATGGCATGTAACCAGTTAGTGTATGGCATTTAACCAGTCAGTGTATGGCATGTAACCAGTTAGTGTATGGCATTTAACCAGTCAGTGTATGACATGTAACCAGTTAGTGTATTGCATGTAACCAGTTATTGTATGATATAAAACCAGTAAGTTTACGGCATGTAACCAGTTAGTGTATTGCATGTAACCAGTCAGTGTATGGCATGTAACCAGTTAGTGTATAGCATGTAACCAGTTTGTGTATGGCATGTAACCAGTTAGTGCATGACATGTAACCAGTTATTGTATGTCATGTTACCAGCTAGTGTATGGCATGTAACCAGTTAGTGTATGTCATGTTACCAGCTAGTGTATGGCATGTAACCAGTTTGTGTATGGCATGTAACCAGTAAGTGTAATGCATGTAACCAGTTAGTGTATGGCATTTAACGAGGTAGTGTGTGACATGTAACTAGTTAATGTGTTTCCAATTTATTCGCAAAGTTTGGTCTCTTGAAAACAAAACAATAAATTTATTCATTAAAAGTGCATATATTATTTGATTTTGCATATCTCTCGAAAACATCAAGGACTACTTCTTGCATGAGATTTTTGGTCATTTTGTTTGTGAGAGAAGAATATTCCCGCCACAATGCTCCTGTCATTGTCATCCATCATATTCCTCGTCTAATGTCAACACACAAACCATGAAAACAATACGACATGAAGGAGATTTATATCCTCACGTGTTAATTTTAATGTAAACATGTTGATAACGTTCTACACAGGATGCGTTTGATAAATTAGTGTTGCCCATAATTCACGAGAATACAAACAACGCGCACTGTCGCCTTGCTTTTGATGTATGCTGCACAGTGGAGGCCACACACTTACACGCATACCGTGACCCATACAATTCAGATAATCTTCTGGCAATTGTTCAAATGGATTTCTTATAATGTAGATATGTTCGTTGACACAAATGTGTGTACATGATGCAGAAATGTATCATGAATTACAAAAAATGTTTTGGTCTAGATGGATGTTAATAACATTTCATGTAGAATTGCATGCTGTCTGAAATAACGGCCGAAAAAAGAGAGTCAGTCAGGAAAACAGTATGTGCACAAAATGACAATAGACGAATCCTGACCAAGTGTACTTTGTGTGGAGGTAGGTGGAATCAATGAGCAGATAGCAGAGATTAATCTGTGAAACGTCACGGATGTGGAGGTGAGGTGAGGTGAGGTGAGGTGAAATTGGGTTTAACGTCGCGTCCAAGATTGTTGCACTTATATAGCGACGGGATGCACGTGTGTGTGTGTGGCTGCTTGTACTAGTCCGGACTGATGCCGATTTTTTCGTGCTAGCACACTGACGTACCATGCCGCAGTTTAACGTGAATACCCCACTCAGACACAGCATACTGACTCCGAGCCGACCAGTCCTTGTTTTAGCCCCTTAATGCCGAGCGCCAGACAGGGTAACAAAAAGTACCATCTTTTAACGTCTTTTGGAATGACGCGGCCGGGGATCGAACCCCGGACCTTCCGCTCTCCGGGCGGACGCTCTACCACTAGACCACGGAGGCGGTCCTCACGGATGGCAACAGAAACTGTCTGAAAATATTTGTGAAATCGCGTTGGAGTTAATAGTAATTTACTGATGCTGATGTGGTTGTGTATGATTTCCAGTCAGGTTGATGGGCTGGTTTACCCAAATCAACATTTTGAAATCTAACAGCTTCATTATTTCTATCGACATCAACTGCCTGGTATAGAAAGTATACACCCATGTTTGGCTAAAATGGTAGAAACAAGAAACTTGCAGTGATAGTGACACGCTTGGTCATTGACTTGCCTTTGCATGTGTTTGTGACGGGTGCCATGGGTGGGGCAGGATACGCTCACCGTTTCGCGAACACCTGGTATCATCACTATTTGATAGTGATTCATAAACACATGCTAATGATACAGTTGGAATTGTACAATCGGCTCTGCTTATGCAGAGATTTCTATTGGGTGTGGAAAGGGTTTTGTCACTTTATTTTCATATTTTCAAGGTGTATACTTTTCTTTGCCAGACAGTTGATGTCAAACAAGCGCGATCTATGAACACACATATAAGTCCCCTGAAACTGGAATATATTTAACATTAATAATTAAAGACAACTACCGCTTCAGCAAAATATGTTCAATGAAAGTTATGAGAAACCTACCAGCAATTGCACTGTATGTCAGCAGAGCGATGCACGCGACTCTATCAGAGATGTCCATTCCGATGGTGGGTAGAGATGAGTCTTTGTATGAGCAGACTTGCAGCGATGGTGACACGCTTGGTCATTCCCCTTGACCTGTGTCCGCGGGGGCAATGACCGCTCACCATGTTTGTCAACTTAACCAACATAACACTAGCTGCAGGCCAATCACTTGTCAAACATAGTAAAAACTAGATGGAGGGTCGTCGAACTTAATATCAATTCAGAAGACAGCTTGCAGGGTATGTATTAGTTTGCAAGCAACCCTTATTTCTAAAATATATTTAACGCATAATATCATAAATCGGACATTGGTCTTATCCTCTCCCCTGGTGTTACGATATGCATAAAAAACCCTGGAAACAAATGTTTTGGGGAGGAACAAATGTTGCAGATTTAACTGTTTTTTTATTTCTTGTTTAAGGTTATTTGAGTCATCATGCAACGGACTCAATAATACAACGGAGACTGATCGAGTTCCTGTATTCCTTTATGTACGTATTCACGTATTCATCGTGAGCTCATTTAGAAGGAGAATGTGCATTTTAAATTTAAAATTTAAATTTAACTATATTTCTAATGACCTGCTTTCAGTCTATCTCAATAACTATATTTCTAATGAACTACTTTCGGTCTACCTCAATAACTATATTTCTAATGACCAGCTTTTAGTCTACCTTAATAACTATATTTCTAATGAACTGCTTTTAGTCTACCTCAGTAACTATATTTCTAATGAACTGCTGTTAGTCTACCTCAATGACTATATGTCTAATAAACTGCTTTCAGTCTATCTCAATAACTATATTTCTGAAGAACTGCTTTTAGTCTACCTCAATAACTATATTTCTAATGAACTGCTTTCAGTCTACCTCAATAACTATATTTCTAATGAACTACTTTCAGTCTACCCCAATAACTATATTTGTAATGAACTACTTCAGTCTAACGCAATAACTATATTTGTAATGAACTACTTCAGTCTAACGCAATAACTATATTTGTAATGAACTACTTCAGTCTAACGCAATAACTATATTTTGTGCTACTACAGTAAACTACGGTTATAACGAACTTAAGAGGACCACTAAATTTAGTTCGTAATAACCGTAGTTCGTATAAGCACATATACAGTATATCTACAGCAAACGGACAGGGTAAAAAAACAGTTCGTTATATCCGTTAGTTATAAGCGTGTTCGTTATAAACGTAGTTTACTGTACTATTATTCTACCTCAATAAATATATTTGTAATAAACTTATTTCAATCTACCCAAATAACTATATTTCAAAATGAACAACTTTCAATCTTCCCCCAAACCTCTATTTATAATGATCTATTTTCAGTCTAATTCACTAACTATTTTTCTGATGAACTACTTTGGCTTCCAGATTAAAATCTCGAACATAGAGAAAGAAACGCCAAATTGAATTTACGTTTGTCTTTTTCTCGTAAATTACTATGCCGAGATTATTTATGCCGTCTCGTGAAAAAACAAAATGATAAAAAATATATCTATATGTGTGTGTGTACATGGCGGCATGTATTTAGTCGTAGGTTTAGAAAGCAATCGATATTCATTCAGCGATATATACATTTGACATAAACTGCCGGGCAAAAGAAAGTCTACACGTGAAAATGTACACACGTTACTAGTCTGAAAACACTAGCCTGTTCTGATATACCAATTGCTAGGAAGCATGTAATACTACCCGCATCAAATACATCGATATCGAATAATCATTTCTTTTTTGTTTAAATTTTCAAATATATGAGTGTATACTTTCTTTTGTCTGTCCTTTTATGATTTTTGTTGCAAAATATATGCAAAATACATATGGGAAAATGTCCTTATATAGCGGTAATAACGAATGGTGAATAATGATGGCCGTCATATAGGGTTTCAATACACACACAAAAAAAGAAACGCACAGGTAGTATGTAGTTTACTGAACTTGAATACACAAAAAACCCGGTATATAAATTGGATATGTTATTGGAAAATGTTGGTGGCCTGATATTCGACAAACGGTATGTCAAAACGCAGCCATTGTCGATTTGTATTGTCTTAAGCGGCTTGTGTTCACACTTGTTAAAAAATGTCATTGAGGAAAACAGTAAAGCAAGATGCACGTGAAAGTTATGGCATTCGTAACTCGTGGTTGTGGTTATAAAAAGGCAAGCATGAGCCTATAAGTTGTCATTCAATTGTCAACATTTTTCAAGTTCGAAAATGCCGAGACAGCGCTGTCGATGGGAACATCGCCATTGGCCGTATCCAAAGAGGGGAACCGCAATCCTCTGTTGCACGCCACTTCAACGTCCACCACAGCACCATTTGCCGCCTTTGTAACCGATACACACAGTTCAATTCCACTACAGACGGGCCGAGAACCGGCCAACCAAGAGTTACCGCCCCTGCACATGATCGCTACATTCGACTGTTCCACCTACGTCATCGCAATGCCACAGCTACGGAGACTGCAGGACGCATCCCTGGTTTAAGGAGTATATCGGACCAGACTGTTAGGAACCATCTTCGCGAGACCGGAATCCGACCCAGAAGAGTAGTTATCGTCCCTGTTTTGTAACAGATCCATCGACAGCGACGCTTACGTTAATGCCATACCTTAAAGTCTTGGAATTTGAGAAACTGGGGAGGAGTGTGGTTTAGTGATGAATCACGATTTATTCTTCACCGGCGAGATGGAAGACAACTCAGTGCCGATGAGATGCAGAGCCGTGATCGCTGCCCGGGGCGGTCACACGAGATACTGAGTTCAGCGCAACCTTGTGACCTCATGTGACATGACAATGAACAGATTTCAATGCCTTTGTACAATTGACAAACAACATGTGACTATCGAGATCCAAAATTTCATATTCGTATCTATGATATTAAATTAATTATTTCGTCTTTATAAGGTACATTAAATTTACTAAAAATCTACCTGTGCGTTTCTTGTTTTGCAGAGTGTATATCTTCTTCTACATTATTTAGTAACCATCGATTTTGAACGGAAATATGTTTTGGCAACATTTTTCTTTACAAACCATAGTCAATCTGTCATTATCGATGGTGTAGTGAGTGAGTTTTTAGCTATTATTTTTCTTTTTCATTCTCTTCGGAAGTAATGAGATCAGGTATTTAAAAAATGAAATATTGCTGGCATACATAATGACATATATATTCTTACACCATATGATTTTGCTCTGATACTACACTATATATTATTTATTTATTCTGTAACCTGGTATGACTGACTAACAAGCCACACGCGGCTTACGTTAAATGTGTCCAAGTACATAATCCGTAATTCAATGAAAGAAAGTAGTCAAATTACGTAAATCCTAGCTTCAGCTTGTTAAAAAATATAACAGGATTTCAGCACCCTGCTCTCAACCAAATACAGACTGAATGCCCGAGGAGACTGAATGCAATTGTGACGGATACATTGGATCTTTAATGTACCATTTTGTCGTACTAGCTTGAATATACCTGTGCCTCCTACTAATCTGAGCGCTTAATAGATACTTTGTTTAAAAAATGTATTACACAAACAGCGTGTCCATTACCATAACCACAGTTTTGATACAATAATGATATTGTGTTTATCTGTAATGGGCGAAGTCCGCACCCTATAGCATGCTCAAATCGATACATCATGGTTTTGTGTGCTCTCGAATTTCATCCTAAGCTCCCTTGGGTGTATACGACCAAAGCTGCCTTGGGAGACGCTAGAAGATTAACAGTCACATTTCAACCTCAGGCTACCGGGTACCCATTCACTGCTGGGTGAATAAAGGCATGTTTCAAAAAGTATCTTGCCTAAGGAGACACCACATGTGCTTCGGTGTGGGGCAGGACCGAATCCTAAGAAACTCTTAGGAGTCAAGCTGCTGAACGCGCTCATCCATCCAACTACTCTCCGCAACCAGTGGTACTTAATTTCGCCTGATTTGCGACGTGCTGAACACAGGATCGTCATCTAATCGAAATTGCATTTATGTTCTCGCTACAACATATCCATCCCAACGTGAACACATAAAGATATATCTTCATTGAGATCAGGTTATTGAAATACGTATGTTAAAGTATATTTAATTGCCCCTTGAGACATTTCAAAAGGTTGTCGTTTGATTTATATGCTTGGTTTGTATAGAGGTTGACAATCGAGACCTTGAACCACAAGAACTGATTTGAGTTGTCAGCTTTTATTTAGCATTTATGTGACAGCATATCCACGGCAAAGTGCATGTGTCCTTGTACGGCGACACATCCCGCCTGCAGCATGTATGACCTGACACTGACCGGCGCCTGACATGGCCTCACTCATATATTGTCTCGCGTTTATGACTGTCACTGTATTATCACCGTTTACCCGATGTCCTCGCTACACACTGGTTATATACACTGACCCTAGCAGTAGGGTAAGTGACGTTTCTCAGAGTGGCAGGTTTGTCCTGAGTCGTCCAGGAATCGGAGGTCAGGGTCGTGACCTGCTGATTGCAAGTCATCGTATCCCGGTGGATCTTTATTCATGCTATCAACCACTCCCACAGACGTCATCTAGCTGGAATATGTACTCGTACATAACGTGCATTAGTGTCAAGTATTGGAATAGTCAGGCATGAATGTAGACAAAGGTCTCACTCACAATTACCTATCAGTAAGAGAGAGCAGTTCATGGATGTCTAATTCTTTATTATGAGGAACACAACATTTTGGAATGCAAGGATGCAAAAAACATATATATGTAAAAAAACACAACAGTGAAAAAAAATATGGAAAGGTGGAAAGGCAACAAGCTATGCCAACAGTTAATTAGCGCTGATAAGTGATTAGCAATGGACAAACAGACACCAGGGCCCACTTGCACAAAGCGATCTTAGCGCTTAAGATGATCTTAACTCCCATACTTTAACATAGGCTTACAATAGTCGTAGCGCTAAGATCGCTTTGTGCAAGTGGGCCCAGGAGTTAAATTAGTACTGACTGATAATTAGCAATGGACAAACAGTACGAAAATCTGTACTTTACTGAGAGAGTGTTATCCCAAATATAACATTTGTTACATTTG